TTAGTATATTATAAACTCAAGAAATTACTGTTCTTGAAGAAAGAAAAAAATCAAATTAATGTTGTATCAGAATAATACATAACGTTTTAAAACTTTAATTCTACTAACAGATCTATATGTATGGGCAGATTTGTGTATTGTGTGCATATGTTTATTTGAAACTTGAAATGATATTCTCTCTCATCCTCACACTCCACAAAGGTGGCCATGCTGAAACATTCTAGAAGTTTCTTCTGAAATTTATATTCATATTTCTAAATAATGACTCTCTTTTGATTTTTTTAATTTATTTTTAGAAAATTTCTAAAATTTCATGGTAAGAAAGATGAGGACTTTCTCCATCACCAACCCATAACAAATAGACACACACGCACAAACAGAAACACACACACACACTCACACTTCCCCCTACTCTAGTTTCCCCAGTGTATTTATATCACATTTGTATTATATTAATACTCATGTTCACATCATTATTATTTCATAAATATTGATCACAAGTGGGGCTGCTGTAATTATGTCTCCTTTTTTGTATATTCTTGGACTTAAGTGTATCTATTTCAATTCTAATTTTATGCCAATTTAGAATTACTGCGAATGTTCAGAAATGTTTCAAACTCTCACTAATAATTCTCTAAATACTAAAAATAATCAAATAATCAATCAACTTCTCTTTGCCCTTAATGTCTTCCCTCACACCTCCATTATCCACCTGGTCCATTCTAAAGCATTTGTTTTCTAGGCCGGGTGTCCAGCAGCCTCCCTGACACTTCCATCCTCCTACATGAAGTCTCCTGAGACCTGCAGTCCCTGACTTCCTCTGACTTGGTTTCAGATATTTAGATGGAAAATATTCTCTAGTATCTAAGAAAATAAACACAAAGGATAAAATTTTTTTGCCCACTTGCAGGTCTGAAAATATTCTTTATCTAAAAATACACAAGATGACAGCTGCTCTTGAGAATTCTAATGTCATTCTGATTCCTGATCCTTTATAGGTGAACTAATTTATCTCTGAATGTTTTTATCACTTTCCCTTTAACTCTGATGTTCTAAAATTTCATGGCCTGGTGTCTTGGATGAATATTTTCCATTTCATTCACTTTGCTGGACATTTGGTAAGAATTTTCTATCTAAATGGTGAAAAATGGAGGTCTTTCCACTGGTGCTACTTATTCTCAGGAGTTTACACCTGGCTGCTGAATTTTAGGAACAAGATGCAGAAAGGCGCTAAAGGCCTCAGAATTCAAGTGGACTCTTACTTAACCCCTCACTCTTTCCCTGTCTCTGTCTGTTGTGTATGAGTGAGCCTCTTAGGTTCAGTTTCTCTAGAGAGTGAACCTCCCTTTTCTGTGGGGAAAAAACAATTAGTTGACAAATGAAGTTGTGGAGGGAATCTAGGCAGGGAGAATTTTCTGTTTTCTGCCTAATTCTCCCTCTGTGTTCTTTGGGTCTTGGTTCTTTTGAATACTCAGCCTTACAGGTACTATAGCAACACAAATTCTTATGACCCTTAGGTTGCAACTTCAATCTCTCTGCCAAATTGGTTACCATCCTTCTATCTGCTCCCTGTGTCTCAGAAGTTTGTTAAAGACTTGATGGTTGTACTCTAACTTTAACAGGAGTAATTCTCATATGTAATAAATTTAACATCATTTCAGTGTGATTCTGACCCCAGAAAAACAAATGTGTGGCTAATAGGCTATGCAGAGCCAGAATCTGCTCATAGATAAATACAAAATTTGAAGAAAAAAAAAAAGTTGTTTGTAAAAGATAAAACTATTGATCCTAAGAAAAAATATTGACAAGTACCATTTTTCTAGGTGCAAATTTTGATAATCATAAAACTCCTCAGGCACATTTTCTACTTAAATAGCATACACCTTTATTATACAGCTACATGCTTAAAATACTTCCCAGACTACGCCGATTTTCTCAGGCTAGCTCATCAAATTTCTAGAATATCCACTATACACTTCAATAAATAGTATTTCCCAAAGAATCAAAAATAGAACTATCCTTTGATCCAGCAATCCCACTACTGGGTATCTATCCAAAATAAAAGAAATCATTTTATCAAAAAGACATCTGCATTCATATGTTTACTGCAGCACTATTCACCAAGGCATATTCATAAAATCAACTAAAAAGTTATGTGTGGGATTTAAAAATCTGCATCTAGTAGTGTCACACACACACACACAAACTCATACCATGCACTACTACTCAGCCATGTAAAAGAATGAAATCATGTCTTTTGTGGCAACATGGATGGAACTGGAGGCCATTATCCTAAGTGCAAAGACTCAAAATAGAAAGTTAAAAACCACACGTTCTCACTTACAAATGGAAGCTAAACAATGGGTACACAGAGACATACAGAGTGGAATAATAGACACTGGAGATTCCAAAAGGTGGAAAGGTGGGAGGGAGGTGAGGGATGAAATGTTACCTATTGGGAACAATGTACACTATTCAGGTGATGGGTACACTAAAAGCCCATACTTCACCATTAGGGAATAGATTCATGAACGCAATTGCACTTGTACCCCTAAAAAAATAGAAATTTACCAAAACATTAAAAACTGGTATCAAACCAACCATAAAAGAATTGCCAATAATAAAAATTAAAAATAAAAAGAGTCTCTGTCTTTACTGTCCCAGCATTAAAACACTACATTTTCAGAATAAGAGAAGATCTGTAAGAGCATACCTGGCTGGGCACAGTGGCACACGCCTGTAATCCCAGCACTTTTGGAGGCTGATGTGGGAGGATCATTTGAGGTCAGGAGTTCGAGACCAGCCTGACTAACATGGTGGAACCCTGTCTCTACTAAAAATACAAAATAATTAGCCAGTGTGGTGGGTACACCTGTAATCCCAGCTACTCGGGAGGCTGAGGCAGGAGAATCACTTGAACCCGGGAGGCGGAGGTTGCAGTGAGCCAAGATTGCACCACTGCACTTCAGCCTAGGCGACAGAGCGAGACTGTCTCAAAAAAAGAAAAAAAGAGCTTATCTATTACTCAAAGTGGTCTGTTCTGCTGGAAAATGGAATTTTGTAGACATGGATTTTAGTGAAATGAAATTTCTACTCATTTCAAAAAAGAAATTGCAACAAAGTAGTCTGTTCTTAAGAAAACCAACATATAATCCTAGGCCAATTCATCATGTCTGTGCCTGCTACAAATCCTCTCCCATGAAATCCAGACACTTTATTCAGAGTATTTAGTCACTTAAATCCAGGGTTTTATTACTTTTGCTAGTGATCACACTGTCTTCACCTCTCTCAGTCCCTCTTCCCTGTTGTGCAAATTCATCTCATTCTTACCCCTTCATCATATTTAGACAACTTAGAGCCAATGGCACAGAAATTTCAATAATGAAGCTTCTCTAAGAGAAACAAGATGGAGGACAATAGCAGTGTCTTCCCAACATCTTTTCTGAAAATCACCCTGCTCACCTATGGTATCATCATACCTGTGACCTCTGGGTACTTCAGCAGGAGCAGAAGTCCAAATCTTAGGGTGGTGCTTGTTGTCTCTGTTCCAGCTCCAAACATATCAGTTACAGTGGCTATCAAGCTTTCAATAGTAAATTCAGACTGTAGATTGTGCTTTTCCTAAAAATTATTTCATCATTTAATTATTTGATAGTGTGCCAGCATATGAAAGTACAAAAAATCCAAAATATATCAGGTTGTTCTAAAGATAAGGAAATTTGGAAACTACAGAGTGCAGTATTAAAACTACAACAATTGCACAGTGTGGCAGAGAATGTAAAATAGTTCATTTCCCATTCCTGCTTATCCATTGCTTGCCTAAAAATTCTATTTCCAAGTATAGAATGTTCTCACTTATAAGTAGAAGCTGTGTTGGCCACGAAACATATTTCTTGTCTATGACACATAAGCAGGTACCTGCTGATGGTACTTTCTCTCTCTCCTTTTTACTCAAAACACATATATGAAGGTAGAGGTGTTATAGATATCACCTTGGAACACGAGTATTTAAGAATCATAACAAAGCCATCTGTGGTGGCTCATGCCTGTAATCCCAACACTTTGGGATGCCGAGGCAGGAGGATCACTTGAGTCCTGGAGTTTGACACCAGCCTGGGCAACAAGTGAGACTCCCTGGCTCTAAAAAAAAAAAAAAAAAAA